TGTCCTGAAACTTGCTCTATAGACCAGGCTGGACTCAAACTCAGAGATCTGCCAGTCTCTGCCTTCCCAGTGCTGGGATTAAAGGTGTGCCCCACCATACCCAGCTCTAAGCTTTTCTTTAGTTCATTTTCACAAGTTGGAAACTTAACTGGGTGAATTCTTACCCTGAGGTCATTACTCCCTATATTCCATGTCTTAATTCATTTATCTCCTTGAACATAGGATTTAGCTCCATTTCACTTTCTGGTATTCTTTTTCTCCTCAAAATTTACATTTTGTAATTTACTCTACTCAGCTTGCTCCTTTTCATTATAAATCTTTATAAGTATGAACACTAGTAACCACACGACAGAGTCTACACTAGGCTGTTTTGAGATTTCCTCTGCCAACAGAATTAATCCAAAACTCTTCACTTTAGCCTCAGGCAGACTCTTTGGATAAGGGCAAAAAGCAGCCCTTTCTTCACCAAAATATTACAAGAACAATCTCTAGGTGTTAGTATTCTGATCCATCCCTTGAAATTCCACCTCTTGGCACTACCCTGTGTCCTGACATAAAAGCTTCTTTTTAAGGAGAAATTCCGTCCCTTTCTCTCTCTCTTTCTATTCCCACAAGGTGAACACCCTCTCTCCTCTCTCTCTCCCTCTCCCCTCTCTCTTCCCCCATCAAATAAAACTCTTCACTGAGTGCTGTCTGCATGGCATCTCTGTCTCTCATCCACTGTGAGGCACCTTAGCTCTACCTGCCAAAGCCTCCCGCTGTATCCTAATACTAGGCATCATACTAAAATTCTCCTCTGAAACCTCTTGATCCAGACACCCACAGTTCAACAAGTCGCATTCAGCACCTTTGTCTTCCCTGCTCCTCCTAGTATGGCCCATTGCAGCACTTAAAACGTTCAACTGCTTTTCTCATCCATAGTTCCAAAATCCATATTCCTTCAAAAAACATAGCCAGGCCCATACCTGGTACCAACTTCTGTCTTAGTCAGGGTTATATTGCTGTGAAGAGACACCAGACCACAGCAACCCTTATAAAGAAAACATTCATTGGAGTGGCTTACGGTTTCAGAGGTTCAGTCCATTGTCATCATGACAGGGAGCATGGCAACATCCAGACAAATGTCATGCTGAGACTGCTACATATTATAGGCAACAGGAAGTCAACTGACTGTCACACCGAGGGAAGGTTGAGCAAAAGAGACCTTAAAGCCTGCCCCCACAGTGACATACTTCCTCCAACAAGGACACACCTTCTAATAGTGCCACTCCCTTTGGGGGCCATTTTTTTTTTTCAAACACAGGTACAGAGTTCTTAGAACCCTTGGAATTTCCCAAGAGGTGACAATCCTTTTCTAAGTCTATTCTAATCAGGTACTAGAAATGGAAAGTCCCTACATAGCTACCAGAGGTAGGAGCTGATGGTCAGCAGAACCACCCTATCTTTAGAAGTTGGGAACTTTGGGTTGGATGCAGCTCTTTTCAGTTCCCAGTATCCTACCTGACCTCTGGGAAGGGGAAGGGGCTGAAGATTGAGTCAGTCACTAAGGTGGCGTGAATGAAAAATGTCCCCCACAGGTTCACATACTTGTACACCTGGTCCCCAGTTGGTGGTGCTGTTGAGAGAAGTTATGGGACCTTTAACATGTGGAGACTTGCTGAAGGAAATATGTCACTGGAGGCTTTGAGAATTTATGGCTTGCTCTCTGCTTCCTATATATGGATGGAAATGTGATCTCTGAGATTCCTACTCCAGCAGCCTCCTGCCATGCCTCCCCCACCATTATGAACTCCCCCCTCTAGAACCATGAGCTCAAATGAACCCTTCCCTCTATAAGTTGCCTTGGTCATGGTGTTTTATCACACAACAAAAGAGAAATTAGTAGTCACCAATGGCTGAAGATTATCCCTATCATACCTACACAAAGTAGAGCCTCTCTAAACACTAAATGAAATTTGGAGAGATTTGTGGTTGGTCATCCATCACACCCCATGTTAGGAAGCAGCATACTTTCCACTAGAGATGGGCCTATGCATAGGACTGTTCCATGTCTTGCCCTATATGGCTCTTCATTAGACTCTTCACTCATATTCTTTATAATTTTCTGGAGTTCCATTGACTATTATTGAACTGGAGTGTGGCAGACTTTCTTTGGGCCACCGACCAGCTCCCAAATCATGATATGGAGACTTCTTATTAGTTATGAATGCTCAGTCTTATCTTATGCTCATCCCACTAGCTCCTATAACTTAGTTTAACCTGTTCCTCTTCATCTACATTTTGCCTCGGGGCTTTTACCTTTCTTTCTTTCTGTATGTCCTACTCCACAGTGTCTGCTGGCTGGTGGCTGCCTGGCTGGCCCGCGGTGTCTCCCTCTTTCTCTCTCCTCACAAGCCTAGATTCCTCCTCCTATGTATGCTCCCTGGCCACCAGCCCCTCCTATCCCTCTGCTGCCTAGCTATTGTCCGTTCAGCTTTTTATTAGACCAATCAGGTGCCTTAGGCAGGCAAAGCAACATGCCTTTACATTGTTCAACAAAAGCAGCATAAACAAATGGAACACATCTTTGCCTAGTTAAAGTAATATTCCACATCACTGGAGGAAAACGTGGTGGGAACTGTCAATTTGTAGTCAAGAGACTCCACTTGGAAGCGTGAAGCCACTGCTTGCAATTGGCATCTGAAGAGGAAACAGCCTTGTATGACTGAATCCATACCATACACTAAGTCTGGTAAGAAATGGCAGGATTTCATTAGATGGCAGAACAGCCATGACAGATCTGCCTAGGATAGGACAATTGCTTGGTGTGGGAAGCCTACCCAGTGGGTGTCAACAAGGTGGTGGGCAGAGAAATCATTTCCTCCAGCTTCCCTCTCCCTCTCAGGATGAGCTAGCCAGGGCTGAACCTCTGCACCCGAGCACATTGCTGCAGGAGGGGTGTTTTCCCTGATGTGTCCAAGCCGGGTGCCAGAAACTGTCATGCCCCTTCCTTCCCAAAGGGGAAACAGGAACCCCCTCTGACCTGAATTGTGCAGAAAGAGCTCATCCAGGCTCATGCAGAGAGCAGCTCTGTCAGGGAGAACAGCCAACCTGAAGCATGAACACACCCAGCAGACACCTTTAGCTTCCGGCCCCTCAAGACACCTTAGGACCCCGGAAGCAGAAGACCCCAGACAGTGGAATCAGAACCAACACATTTCTGTTGTTTACCACCTGCCCAGCCTACAGATGGCTTTTGTTACTGTCACTGTTACTGGTTACAGCCCAAACAGAAGAGCCGCCCTCACCTCCACCTGAGAAAACTGGCTTGTCTCAGGAGAGCTAGAGAAGAACAAAGGTTATTTTCTCACTGTAAATTAAAGAGAAAACAGGCCATTTTCTCGTTTACTGCCTATTCAGGGCGCTGCTCCTGTTTGTGAGTGCCTCGGCAGGGCAGTCCAGTCCGTTATCCCAGAGGGGTAACGTGTGGAGATACAAGAGGACCAACACCCGTGCCTTCAGAGACAGACAGACCACTCGCAGTTAGACAGTCGGCTTCCTCCCAGCAAGCAGAGCGAGCTTGCCTTTGCCCTTGCCCAGCCCCAGGAGTTAGACAGTCGGCTTCCTCCCAGCAAGCAGAGCGAGCTTGCCTTTGCCCTTGCCCAGCCCCAGGCCAGGGGGCGGAACTGTATCTGCCATACTGTGTCCTGGAGGTGACATCAGTGTGAAAGGACAAGTGGAAAACACGGCCCAGTCCCTCTAATAACCCACTTCCGGAAAGTGGCTTGCATGTCATTTGCATTTACGGAGAGGATTCACCACTGTGCCTGGAAGACCAGCTTTGCTCCAGTGTTGGATCGGAGATGCAGCCTCCACAGAGCTGCAGCAACTTCATCTACAGAGCTGCAGCAGCCTCATGACTGCGTGAACCAGTTTTCTGCGTAGACAAAGCACTCTCCCCTACCTCAGGATGCAGCCTTGGGAGACAGACCTTTTGTTTGTTTGGTTGGTTGCCTTTATTTTTTCTTATTCTGGAGACAGGGTCTCAATCTGTAGTACAGATTAGCGTCATATTCACAGTGATCCTCCTGTCTCAGCCACCCAAGTGCTGGGGTTTCAGGCACAAGTCACCATGTCTACCTTCTGACCTATTTTCAGTGCTTGGAGCCAAGAAGGGAACGCAAGCTGCTGCTAGGGTGGAATTTCACTTCCAGCGCTATGGCGCATCATAGAGACACATATCCCAGGACAAGGCCGGCAACAGCAACAGGCTCTAAGGACAAACACTGCTGATGGCAGTATCTCCTCCCCGTTATTGCTACCTTACATCATCCCCTCAAATCTTATTCCACAGCAGGTCTCTGCAGCCGGTAAGAGAACAACCAGAAGAGCCTTGGCAAACCAGGCTGCTAGCCGCTGAGCAAACCCCGAGAGCAGAGCAAGGGCAAAGAGTCCACTACTGGCCACCAAGTGAGGCTGGGCACAGGGATGCAAGATCGTCTTCCCTTCACACAGGGAAGTCTGTCTGTCCCTAATCACAGGCACGGGAGGATGCAGTGTTCCATTCCTAACGCCTACAGACTAAATGAGAAGTGAACACCAGGGAGGGAAGGGGCCCCTAGGATCTGTAATTTAATGACCACACAGCTGCTACCAGAGAAAGAATACCCTTGCAGGGTCCTTCTCCTACTGGTACTTGGCAAGACAGAAGCAGACACCGTCAACATCCAGCGGGAGTTCAGGATGCTCACAGAAGTCAGGTTGGGAAGTTTGTGGTGCTGCAAGTGGCAACTGACGTGTGTGTGTGTGTGTGTGTGTGTGCGCGCGCGCGCGCGCGCGCGCGCGTTGCCATCCCTAAAATGCTCCAACCAAGCAAAAGCCGGTAGCCAATCCTAGAGAATGTAGCCTGCATCCCGGCATGTCTCCTGGTCTTTTCCATCCACCTTCCACCCGATTCTCTCTGGAACGTCGCGGTTCCGGGACGGAATTCCAGCAGAGGTGAGAAAAAGGAAAAGACTTACCTAACTCCTCCGGGCTGTAAGGTGCTGGAGTGGTGTCCACAAAATCACTGTCTGAGGGAAGAAGGAAAACAGAAAACCAAAACTGAGTCGCTGCAACCATGCAGGTTCAATAAATCGGGCATCCTAGAGAGCTCAGGTCCGTTAGAAAAGCGCGGGTCTCTCTCCAGCGATTAGACTGGCAAACCTTGATCCACGCAGAATTCGGACTGCCTCATCCACTGAATGTGAATGTGAAGAAACTTGGGAAGTGGTTCGGCCTAGGAGCACTCATCCAGAAGCCCGCAGGTGCGCACCAACTTTCCTGGTTGGGACTGCACAGTTCCCGGGCAGCGGGGCTGAGACCCCATCATCTGCCCTCAGCCCCTGGGGCGCATCGCTGGGTCTTCAGGACCCAGCGCCGCCGACACCTCAACTCAGAGAAAGCCCCAAGTTTTCCGAGATCGCGGAGGCTCGTGAACGCGCAGAGGCTGCGACAAGGGCTCCATGCGCCCAACCGGCCCCATGGCCTGCAAGCATCCCCGCCCGCCCGTTGCTAGGCTACCATGGCCGTCACGAGGTTCGCTGACTTCCCTCCATTCGCTGTTAGAGGATGTCCTCCTGCACCCTAACCCTTTTGCCCATTTGTTAAAAACTAAAGCCTTGCCAGCTCTGAGTGGATCCCCTGCTCCTCTGCATTGGGTCTGCCCTCCTCCAAGTGTCCAGGGCTCCTGAGAGGATTTCCAGAGCTGGACACTGTCTTGGCAGCAGGCAGGGCAGACTTCCTGTGCCCTCCACTCATCCTCCTTTTTAACTTGCGTTCTGGCTGTAGCCTGAGCATTAGTCTCTCCTCTGAACAACCCCCTCGGTTTAAATAGGCTAAGTAATTTGGTCCCCATTTCACAGCCTGGGAAGCAAGAGCTGAGTAACTTGGGACACACAGACTTCCCTGTCGTGATAGGCAGGGAGAGAAATCGGCTTTTTCCCCTAGCGTACCTTGACTGATTTCAAGTACAGAATGGAGACGTGGAAGTTTCCATGTGAGTATTGTAACTAGTGTCTGGATAGCTTCCGGCTGTGGGATCGCCTTGTCTGGATCACTGAGTAGTGTGGGTACACACACTCAGTACTTCCCCCCGGAGTGACTGACGGCTCTGCCAGGGTGGGTCTAGTGTTTGGGGTCTGCGGGGTGAAAGGGAAAGAACGAAGACGGCAGTTGGCAATCCAGAGCTTCTGGGGCCCTCTGTGGTTCAAAGTGACCAGGGCAGTAACTGCAGTAGCCTTCGGCCCTGTGTCTTGGTCAAAGTGTTACCCTGTAAACAGTTCCTGGGTTCCATGCTCGCTTTTGGTTACATGACACTGAAGAAGACTAGAAAGAAGCACCAGCCTGCCTTTCTCACGGAGCCCCGAGAAGAGGTTGTCCTACCCACCCAGGAAGCCGTCGTGAACCGTCACTCCATCCTCAAGACTTGTCCTGTTATGGGAGATGGAAGTTCCAAACTCAAGAACTGAATATGTGCAAACCCTGTTCACACGCCACTCAACCCCTTCCACACACACCCCAGACCCTTCCACACACCACTCCACCCCCACAAGATACTTCCACACATCACACCACCCCCCACAAGATACTTCCACACACCACTCCACCCCCACAAGATACTTCCACACACCACTCCACCCCCCCACAAGATACTTCCACACACCACACCACCCCCCACAAGATACTTCCACACACCACTCCACCCCCACAAGATACTTCCACACACCACACCAACCCCCACAAGATACTTCCACACACCACTCCACCCCCACAAGATACTTCCACACACCACACCAACCCCCACAAGATACTTCCACACACCACTCCACCCCCCCACAAGATACTTCCACACACCACTCCACCCCCACAAGATACTTCCACACACCACACCAACCCCCACAAGATACTTCCACACACCACTCCACCCCCACAAGATACTTCCACACACCACTCCACTCCCACAAGATACTTCCACACACCACTCCACCCCCACAAGATACTTCCACACACCACACCAACCCCCACACATGACCCTTCCACACACACCAACCCTCCCACACACACCCCTAGACCCTTCCACACACCACACCACCCCTCCCACACACACCCCAGACCCTTCCACACACTACCCCAACCCTCCCGCACACACCCCAGACCCTTCCACACACCCCTCCAGCCTTACACACACACACACACACACACACACACACACACTCCAGACCCTTCCACACACCCCTCCACCCTTACACACACACACACACACACACACACACACACACACACACTCCAGACCCTTCCACACACCCCTCCAGCCTTACACACACACACACACACACACACACACACACACACACACACACACTCCAGACCCTGCCATTTGCTCTCAGCAGCAGCAAGATTGCTTCTGTTATTATCTCCAGCCTCCCCTCTGAAGGTGTCTGAATTCCTCGCTGTCTGACTCTGGCTCTTCTTGCCAACCACAGACCATATTCCTTGCTGCTCCTATTCCTTTTGGCCGTGTGCAGACCCTGGAATTATTCTGACCCTTTGAAGGTATTGCCATCTGGCTTGCTGGTACTTTCCTCAGTCACAGTCCTGTGAGCAGTCTAGACTTTTCCATTTGCACATAGTGAATTCTTCTCACCCTCTGTCTGCTCAGCTCTTTGACATTCTCTCTCATCCTTGACCTGCTCCCCAGCCAGGCCCCTGCTGTCATAGTAACACCACACCTATTATCAAGGCCAGGACTCTGCTCTTCAGCATCCCCTACCTCTCCAGTCTGTCCCTTTATTTAGTCTGAAGTCTCCTTGACTCTACCAGAATTTAAATGAACCATCCTAGGATCTTTTCTCTGATCCCTACTCTCCTCATGAACTCCCTCCCATCTTGACCTCTTAACAGAGTTTCAGGTCCATTGCTATCATTTCTCATTTATTTGTCCCTTTGTAACAAATAAAGTCCTAGGGTTCATTTTTAAAGGTGCCTCAAGCCAGCTTATGTCCAGTTACAAATGAACAGAAAACACTAGAGTCCTGTAATGTGTACCACTTTAGCTTTTCCTACACACACACAGACACACACACACACACACACACACACACACACACACACACACACACACGTTGAATTCTGCTAAGCTATGCTCCCCCCACCAACACTCAAACTGTGAGTTTAGGGTGGAAAATGAACAGCCACGCTAGCCTAATGACCTGAAGGTGTGACAAGACCATGTGCCCAAGGAGCTTTGAAATAAACAGGGAGTAAAATGTTGAGATGAACCTACAGGTGGCTTTGTTGAAAAACATACAAACGTAAGCGACAAAGAGAAAGACAAGACCTGGATGATATGTGAGATTGTCCCCTTCTGATTACACAGACAAAGAGGAGAGGAGGAAGAGGCTTATGCACTGGGGTTTAAAATCTGTTTTCTCCGCTCAATCAGCACACCTGCCATGTGGGGCTGATGCAGGACTCCAAAATGCAGTAAACTGCCTCACTCTGGTGCTCTTATAATGAAGTGGGAATCTTCATTTCTCATACCCTTAAATCCACACTCCCTCTGCTCTCCAACCTAGCAACCACTCCACATTTTCCTGCTGTATCTTCTCCCCTGCCTTCCTAGTCTGGGAAGGAACCACCTGTCCTGACCTAATGCCAGTTCCATTGTGAACCGGACCTGATGGACAGGGCTTCCCTTTCCCACCTAACGGGATGCTTTCCTTTGCCTGGGCCCTTGCATCGCGAGTACAGACATGCTAATTCCTATTTCCCTCCCATCTTCCTTCTCTCTCTCTAGGAGCCACTTTATTTCTCAGCTGCCCTTCACAGCAGAACTCATCAAAAGCACGGTCTGTGTCAGTCAGGCTCTTCCTTTCCCTCTCAGAGGCAGCCAACTGGCTGCTTTGCTGAAATGTCCTCTGTGGCCAAGGCAGAGGATAGTCCCCCCACCGTCAATTTCATGGCCACTTCCTGCTAATGCGAGCGTCAGTGTCACTCAGACCCCAGCTAACACCAGTTGCACCGCTGGATGACAACTTCAGGCAGCCTTGATTTCCTAAAAGTGGAGATTATATTGTTATATTATAATCACAAGTTAATTCAGTCATCCCAAGAAGAGAGATGACCTGATGTAAAGATTGGAAAGTTGTTGGCTATTGTTGGATGTGGTGCGCCTTTACAGCTCATGCCAATGGGCTCTTCTTGTTCACTTAAAATTTTTAGTTATGGAAAGAAAAACACTCACCACAAAATATATTCAAATTAAGCACTTGGCTTGTGTTCTACTAATTGGGCTGAAAGCTGGTTGCATGGCAACAACTTTACCCTCTATGAAGAGTGCTGTGGTTTAAACATGATACCCCAAACCCATGTATTGGAATTGTGACCTCCAAGTTCTTGTGTTCATGCAGAAGGCCTTTAAGAAGTGACTAGGGTTTGATGAACTTGTAAATGGGGCTCCCATGATGGCATTAGTGGCTTCCTAAGAGGAGGAACTAAGTCTGAGCTGGAACTCATGCTATGTCCTTATGTGGTACCCTCCACCAGGTTACAATGCAGCAAGATCCTCATCAGATGCTGAGCACACGCCAGCAACATGTGCTTGGGCCAGCCTCCAGAACCATGGGGCAAGAACATTTTTATTATGCACAACCAGTCTCCAGTGCTTTGTTATAGCAACAGGAAGCTATAAAGACAGAGTGTGACGAATGTCCCACGGGTGATCAGGATCTGGAGCCTGCCAAGCTGTTCTGCCAAACTGCTCTAATCCGCAGTGACTTGATTTGTCGTAAATGTGGATGAACGCAAACCAAGGCTTTCTTCCCAGCACTTCCGTGACTTGCCTTTCCCAGTCAACTGGAAGCTGATGAGAACACATTTTCCTAGTTTCCATATTTGCTACTAAAAAAAACTCCATCTTATGAAATAAATCACACACACACACACACACACACACACACACACACACACACACACATATGAATTGAAATGATGTTTATGCCAGGCATGGTAGCACACACCTGTAATCCCAGCACTCTGGAGGCTGAGGCAGGAGGATATGAGTTAGAGGCCCGTCTGGACTACGAAAGGAGACCCTGTCTCTAAGAAACAAAGATGTTCACTGGGAATCTGCCAGGCTTCCAGGGCTGTGTTAAGATCTGCAGATGAAGAGAAGACCAGTGCCAGCCTTCCTGCTGTCTTCCTCTCTCCCTCCCTTCTTTTCTTTTTCCGTGTGTGTGTGTGTGTGTGTGTGTGTGTGTGTGTGTGTCTCTGTGTGTGTGTGTGTGTCTGTGTGTGTGTGTCTCTGTGTGTGTGTGTGTGTCTCTGTGTGTGTGTGTCTGTGTGTGTGTGTGTCTGTGTGTGTGTGTGTGTGTGTGTGTGTGTCTGTGTGTGTCTCTGTGTGTGTGTGTGTCTGTGTGTGTGTGTCTGTGTGTGTGTGTGTGTGTCTCTGTGTGTGTGTGTGTGTCTGTGTGTGTGTGTCTGTGTGTGTGTGTGTGTGTGTG